GGAGCAGAAAAAGTGTTTTAAAATCCAATAAGCCCAAATAGACTTTTTAAATGTCAATACACCGAAGGGGCCATAGTCGCAGGGCAGGAGGCTGGAAAGCAGGCCCCTCCAAAAACTCATGGTAAACTCCCTTAAAAAGGGGAGTTTGTCACATCCACCAACACGTCTGACAATTTATCGTATTAGAGATAAATTTGAAGCAACAGGTGCAGTGGTTAATACACCAAAATCTGGATGTCCTAGGACGTCTATGACAGAAGAAAACATGATGAGAGTCACTTTGAAATTTGTAAAGAGTCCGAAAAAGTCCGCACCACATGCGTCTCTGCAGCTATCCATACCGAGAAAGTCCTTGCAACGCTTAATGTGTAAATTGAATTTGAAGCTGTACCGTCCAAAATTGTTACATAGGCTTCTGGAGTATGACCAAGACCGTCGGTTACAATTCTGTGAGATGATGCATAACCAAACCTGTAACGAACTAGACAGTTTTCAGGCCACGTCAACAGGCATAATTGTGTGTATTCAGCAGATGAAAATCCTCACTTGACGATCACATAGAACATAGAATGTGACGGCAGATAAGAACCATTCGGCCTATCCAGTCCACTTTTTTAAATACTTTCATTAGTCCCTGGCCTTATCTTATAGCTAGGATAGCCTTATGTCTATCCCACGCATGCTTAAACTCCTTTACTGTGTTAACCTCTACCACCTCAGCAGGAAGGCTATTCCCTGTATCCACTACCCTCTCAGTAAAGTAATACTTCCTGATATTATATTTAAACCTTTGCCCCTCTAATTTAAGACTATGTCCTCTGGGTGAAGCATCTCAACAGAACCAGCCAGTTTGGGGTGCACTGTCCAGCGAAAGTGTTCTTGAACCAGTGTACAAATTAAAAGAGTTAATTTATAGACATTGATGCGGACCGGAATTTTTGGCATACTGTGTGTCCCAGTGTACTAGACAGGTTCGAGGAATGTTGCAACGTTGATGGAAGGCACTTACGAGATTAAATAGTATTAAACAAATATAAATGAAATAAACAATAAAATAAAATGCAAATAAACTATACTGTAAACCTATTTTTGGGCCACCCTGTATAACAGTATACCTCATTTAAATGCAAATCCTGGCTTACCTATGCTCTGTGGGACGGCTGCCTTTTAGTCCTTTTGTCTGGCTAAAGACCATGTGGGTAATGGAGAGGTTTAGCAAATTCAGAAATCCTGACAGCGAGCACCTCAAAAACCTGCTATGAGCACATAAAAGCTGTACATGTTATTTCAGATGTTTAAAATGCACATGTTATTTGTTCATAAAAACAGTGCATCCAACCGAAGACAATGTAATGATTACCACTCCCATGGAAGGGTGATACATCTTTCATATATAAATTCTGTGTATTTACTTATATGTTATGTGTTACAAGGAGAGAGAGAGACAGAGAGAATGTGTGTGTGTGTATGTCTCCCTTAATTTTAGGCACACTAGACATACATGCCACAGTCCGTTAAATATTTGTTGGAGTTACACTCCTGAACAGTAACTAATTCAATTTATTGAAGGCAGATGACAACCTCCAGTAACTCTAACTCCCGCTAATCTGAGGCAGCACTGGTGATCTATGTATAACTGAATAAGGAAATAAGGATGCCTACATGGGTCAGATTCTTCATAATCTGCTCATTTCCATATCCCTAGTACTTGCCCTCATTTGACCTCAGAGAATGAAAGCAAAGTAGACAGAGTTTCTAGGTCAGCTGCTTTAGACAAAAGATAGGAATAACAGCATTGTGTTCCCTCTGGTGTTTACCAAGTCTGCCACACCGTTTAACTGCACAATCCCTAAGTAATGATCTCATCACAAAGTGAAATCTTTTTACCCCCAAAAGCTGTAGGATTCCAGAAGTATTACACAGCCTCTAGTAAATGGAATGTCAGCTGCATTGTTATTTACCATAGTCCAAAGCAGCTCAGATTTCTTATTTTTTTCTGATAAATGACACACTATGCCTTTAAGCATCAGGCAGCAGTGCGTGTCAATCATAATACTTAACTTGGAAATAGCCTTAAGGACCAATGAAAAATCTGTGTCATCATGCAAATCTGGTTCTTAAAGAAATCCTGCAGGCACTGGGACAATGTGACACACATTAACGCTAATAGTTAAATAGCATATATAGACATCCCAAGTCTCCCAGTAGGTCTGGGAGATTCCTGTATTTGCAGTGTGGCTCCCTGACACCATCAAGTCTCAAACAATATCTTAGAAATCACACACACAATCTGACATACAACGTGTATAATTGTATTACCATATGCATTTTGTATTGTTTTAATTATTAACATAATTTATATTTATATTTATATATATATATATATATATATATATTTCTTTTTTCTTCTTCTCTCTTTAAAGGACTATTATAGGCACCCAGACAACTTCAGCTCAATGAAGTGGTCTGGGTGCCAGGTCCCCCTAGTTTTAACCCTGCAGCCAGGGCCGGCCATAGGGGTGTGCGAGCTGTGCAGCCGCACAGGGCACCATGGAAAAGGGGGCGCCCTGTGGCCGACACAGCTCACACATGGCCGGGTGACAGGGGAGCAAAAAAATCGAGGCGGCGGGGCTTATCGCGAGGCAAAGGCGGGGCTTATACCTACACAAAGGAGTCCCTGCTTCCCTAACAACTAACTGCTTCCACTCTCCCTTCTAGCCATAATGGAAAGAGGTAAGTGTGTGTGTGTGTGACTGTTTGCCTGCCTGTGTATGACTGTTTGCCTGTTTGTGTGACTGTCTTTGTGTCTGCCTGCCTGTGTGTGTGGGTGTGTGTGTGTGTGACTGCCTGTGTGTGACTGCCTGTGTGTGTGAGACTGTCTGCCTGTGTGTGTGTGAGACTGTCTGTGTGTGTGACTGTCTGTGTGTGTGTGACTACCTGTGTGTGACTGTCTGCCTGTGTGTGTGTGACTGTCTGCCTGCTTGTGTGTGTGTGTGTGTGTGACTGTCTGTGTGTGTGAGCCTGTCTGTATGTGTGTATGACTGTCTGACTGCCTGCTTGTTTGTGACTGCCTGCCTGCCTGTGTCTACCTGCCTGTGTGTGTGTGTGAGAGAGACTGTCTGACTGCCTGTGTGTGACTGTCTGTCTGTGTGTGTGTGAGACTGTCTGCCTGTGTGTGTGTGAGACTGTCTACCTGTGTGTGTGTGACTGTCTGACTGCCTGTGTGTGTGTGACTGTCTGACTGCCTGTGTGTGTGTGTGTGACTGTCTGACTGCCTGCTTGTGTGTGACTGTCTGACTGCCTGCTTGTGTGTGACTTTGCCAGTGTGTGTGTGACTGCCTGTCTGCCTGTGTGTGTGAGACTGTCTGTGTGGCTGTCTGACTGCCTGCTTCTGTGTGACTGCCTGCCTGTGTGTGTCTGCCTGCCTGTGTGTGTGTTTGTGACTGTCTGACTGTGTGTGTGTGTGTGTGTGCGACTGTCTGCCTGACTGCCTGCCTGTGTGACTGTCTGTCTGTGTGTGACGTTTTGCCTGTGTGTGTCGCTGTAGCTGTGCCATTGTGTGTGCCTGTATGTGTGCCTATCAGCGTGAGTGTCTGCATGCCTGTAACCGAGTGTGTATGACTGTCTGCTTGTAAAGGAGTGTGTATGACTGTTTGTTTGTGACAGTGTGTGTGACTGTCTGCCTGTAACTGTTCATGATTGTGTGCCTGTAACTGTCTGCCTTAGACTGTGTTTTTGGCTCTGTGATTGTCTGCCTGTAACGGAGCATGTGTGACTGTCTGACTGTAACTGAGCGTGTCTGACTGTCTGCTTGTAACGGTTTGTTTGACTGTCTGCCTTTGCCTGTGTGTGTGACTGTATATATAAGGCAACTTGTTGGGGGGAAAAGGGGGGGTGCCGTGAAGACTTTAAGGCCGGCCCTGCCTGCAGCTGAAAACATAGCAGTTTCAGAAAAACTGCTATGTTTACACTGCAGGGTTAATCCACCCTCTAGTGACTGTCTCCCTGACAGCCACTAAAGGGTGCTTCTGCGATTTACACAGAGAAATCGCACTTATTTGACGCTGGACGTTTTCATTGAGTAATGCTTTCCTATGGGCGGGTTTGAATGCGCGTGCGCCTCTGGACGCGCATGTGCATTCAGCTCCACTCGGAAGTTGACATCGATGGAGGAGAAGAGGTCACTGGTGTCGAGGGAGCCCGACGCTGGATTAAGGTAAGCAAATAAATGGTTAATTAATCATTTATTTGCCACGGAACAGGGCCCTAGTCACCTAGACGGTTACTAGGGCTCTACAGCGTTAGGAATACATATTTGTATTTCTTATTCTATAGTGTTCCTTTAATGTTTTTCTTTTTTCTTCTTTGTATAAAGTTTTAATACTTAATAAATTAACAATATTCCACCATAGAAGCCTGGTCTCTTTGCGCTTTTTAGGCTACTCTACTACATTGTCAGTCTGATTATGTCCCACAATTCTTGTCAGTCTGACCATGTCCCACAATTCACTGTTGCATAAACAACCCCAATTAAGGCCACACATGCACAATGTAGCATTATCACTGCATATTCATTTAATAAAACAAATCCATTAATAATACCTTTTTAAGGCCAAAGTAGTTGTACTGGAAGCATAGTTGACGTTGAGAATTTTTCCATTTCAGCTATTATGACCTTAAATGTGAAATTCACCTTGAATTCTCGCTTTAGTGAAGATCCCTTACAGTCTTGTCAGTCGCCCCTTCACGGAAATAAAGTTTTTTCTAACGTCATCATTTTGGTCTAAATTTTAACCAACTATTGCTGTCTCACCCTCCTGCTGTTTAGTGCATAAGGTCTGCAGTTAAAGGAATGGCTAATGAGAAAGCAATACTCGGGCAGTGATTGCTCAATCCCAGTTTGGCGAGACAGCAGTTCATTTGATCAGACAGAAACTCTGGAAGCCAGCACTAAGCATGTCCAAGAATGGACTCTTCCAGTACAAACCAGGAGGTGCTGCGTTCCTTACCCACCAGGACTCAAATCACACATATACACAAGAATAGGATTTGTGGTTAGGTGGCTGCCTCTGCCAGGTTCCCATACTCAGCCAATCAATCCTGTGGCTGGGTTTCTGTGATGTGAGGTCCATGATCAAGCAGTTGTGATTTCTTATGTTAGAATAATTCGACATGCTGCTCTATAAGCAAGATCCCTGTGTCTTCCTACCTTCAAATCATTTCCTTTCCCTCCTATGGTGCAGTAAGTGGGTCCATAAACCTGGAATGGGATACACAGTGTGTGTGTCATATTTCTTGTCATCTGTTGCCATAGCAGCCTTACGGCAAACCACGATACAGGCAAAAGGATGTACAAGACTCCCTCCTCTGCATCCCCACGCTTGTTGCAAGTACGATACACATACTCAGAAACAAAATTCTGTGTTATAATCTCCAGGTCTGTATATATAGAGATGATATTTAACTCAAAGGAAAGGGCTAAGATTTAACAAACACTGCATATTCTTTTAGCCTTTCATATTTTAAGTTTGCACCCAAGGCAGGCACTACCATTAGACGAATAAAGCATTCGCCTGTGGCGCCCAACTAGAGGTTTTCTGATGCTCTGGGGCTGGTGTTCAGGGTCAGTGGCTCCTTAGCCATCCCCCAGCACAGCCATTCATCTGCTGGGCTCCCTCTGCTGCCAATTACCTGCTCAGGGAGTAGGGTTTACTATAACCCCAGCACCCAAGCAGAACACACTGCTACCTGTAGGCAGGAGTAGCAGGAACATGGCCCGGTATCCCGGCTGCCCCCTGCCTGTGTACACTGGAAGCTCTCTGATGGGAGCAGGAAGCAGCTGGGTGTGTGTGTGTGTGTGTGTGTGTGTGTGTGTGTGTGTGTGTGTGTGTGTGTGTGTGTAAATTACTATGTGTGAAAAAAGTGTGACTTTATGTAAAGTGGTTTGTGTGACAGTGTGTGTGTTAGTAAGACTGTGTATGTCAGTGAGAGTGTGTAAGTGACTATGTATGTCAGTGAGAGTGTGTGCATGTGTATGTGTAAGTGACACTGTGTAGGTCAGTGAAAGTGTGTGTGTTAGAGTGTGTAAGTGACACTGTATGTCAGTGAGAGAGTGTGGTTGAGTGTTAGTGAGACATTGTATGTCAGTGAGTGTGTAAGTGACTGTGTATGTCAGTGAGAGTGTGTGCATGTGTATGCGTGTTAATGACACTGTGTATGCATGTGTATGTGTAGGTCAGTGAGAGAGTGTGTGTGTGTGTTAGTGAGACTGTGTATGTCAGTGAGAGTGTGTAAGTGACTGTGTATCTTAGTGAAAGTGTGTGCATGTGTAAGTGACACTGTGTATGTCAGTGAGATTTTGTGTTAATGAGAGTGTGTAAGTGACACTGTGTATGTCAGTGATAGTGTGTGTATTAGTGACACTATATGTAAACAAGATGGTGAATTAGTGAGTGTGTAATTGACACTATATGTATGTTAGTGAGAATGTGTGTATGTCAATGAGAGTGTAAGTGTTAGTGAGTGTGTAAGTGATAATGTGTATATCAGTAAAAGTGTGTCTTAGTGAGTAAGTTACACGGTGTATGTTAGTGAGTGTATAAGTGACACCATGTGTGTATGTGCTAGTGTGTGTGTGACCATGTGAAGAGATCCTTATATATTAAGTTATAACTATATTAATCTAATTCCAATTTAAACAGAAAAAAAAACAAAAAATGTTTTACTAAAAGTTCCCTGTAATGTATGAGTGTATGAATGTATGTATTAGGCAGTATGATTGTTCAGATATATGTATTAGGCAGTATGAGTGTATGTATTGGGCAGTATGAGTGTATGGATGTATGTATTGGGCAGTATGAGTGTATGAATGTATGTATTAGGCAGTAAGAGTATGGATGTATGTATTGGGCAGTATGAGTGTATTGATGGATGTATTGAGCAGTATGAGTGTATGGATGTATGTATTGGGCAGTATGAGTGTATGAATGTATGTATTGGGCATTAAGAGTGTATGGATGTATGTATTGGGCAGTAAGAGTGTATGGATTGATGTATTGGGCAGTAAGAGTGTATGGATTGATGTATTGGGCAGTAATAGTGTATGGATTGATGTATTGGGCACTAATAGTGTATGGATGGATGTATTGGGCACTAAGAGTGTATGAATGGATGTATTGGACTGTAAGAGTGCATGGATGGATGTATTAGGCAGTGTGAGTGTATGGATTGAAGTATTAGGCAGTAAGAGTGTATGAATGGATGTATTGGGCAGTATGTGTGGATGGATGTATTGGGCAGTATGAGTGTATGGATTCATTGGGCAGTATGAGTGTATGGATTCATGTATTAGGCAGTATGGGTGCATGGATGTATGTATTAGGCAGTGTGAGTGTATGGATGAATGTATTGAGCAGTATTAGTGTATGGATGGATGTATTGGGCAGTATGAGTGTATGGATGTATGTATTGGGCAGTATGAGTGTAAGGATGCATGTACACCCTGTTCCAAATTATTATGCAAATCATATTTAAGTGTCACAAAGATGAAATATTTAGTTTTTCAGTTTAACTCATGGATGGCATTGTGTCTCAGGGCTCTTTTGATCACTGAAAACAATCTTGGACACTTGCGATAATTAGATTGCCAGGTGAGCCCAATTAAAGGAAAAACTACATATTATTAAGCAGAGCACCATTTTCATGCAATATGGGGAAGAAAAAGGATCTCTTTGCTGTCGAAAAGAGTGAAATAGTTCAATGCCTTGGACAAGGTATGAAAACATTAGATATTTCATGAAAACGTAAGCGTGATCATCGCACTATTAAGAGATTTGTGGCTAATTCAGAGCACAGACGGGTTCGTGCAGACAAAGGCACATTGAGGAAGATTTCTGCCAGATCCATGCATCGGATCAAGAGAGCAGCTGCTAAAATACCATTACATAGCAGCAAACAGATATTTGAAGCTGCTGGTGCCTCTGGAGTCCCACGGACATCAAGGTGTAGAGTCCTCCAGAGTCTTGCAACTATGCATAAATGTTCTATTCGGCCACCACTAACCAATGCTCACAAGCAGAAATGGCTGCATTGGGTAGAAAAATACATGAAGACTAATTTTCAAACAGTCCTGTTCACTGATGAGTGCCGTGCAACACTGGATGGTCCAGGTGGATGGAGTAGTGGATGGTTGGTGGATAGCCATCCTGTTCCAACAAGACTGCGACGTCAGCAAGGCGGTGGTGGAGTCATGTTTTGGGCCGGAATCATGGGAAGAGAGCTGGTCGGCCCCTTTAGGGTCCCCGAAGGTGTAAAGATGACCTCTGCAAAGTATGTGGCGTTTCTGACTGACCACTTTCTTCCCTGGTACAGAAGGAAGAACTATGCTTTCCGTAATAAAATCATCTTCATGCATGACAATGCACCATCTCATGGTGCAAAGAATACCTCTGCATCAATGGCTGCTATGGGGATTAAGGAAGAGAAAGTCATGGTGTGGCCTCCATCCTCCCCTGACCTCTATCCTATTGAGAACCTTTGGAGCATCGTCAAGGGTGGGAGGTAGTTTACATCCAAACAGCAGCTCTGGGAGGCTATTCTGACATCTTGCAAACAAATTCAAGCAGAAACTGTCCAAAAACTCACAAGTTCAATGGATGTAAGACTTGTGAAGCTGCTATCAAATAAGGGGTCCTATGTTAAAATGTAACGTGACCTGTTAAAATATTTAAAAAGTTAAAATGTTGTTATAAGTTTGATTGAAATAGCTTTTGATTTCAGTAAATATGCTGCAAACACAACAAATGTCAATTTTCAGTTCTTTACAACCTATAAAGTGTTTTGAAACTTACTGTGCGTAATAATTTGGAAAAGTGCATTGTAAGTTTTTTATGTTTAACCCCTTAAGGACTGGACTGTTTTTGCGATGTTGTACATTTGCGACCAGGAATATTTTTACACTTTTGTGGTGTTTGTGTTTGGCTGTAATTTTCCGCTTTCTCATTTACTGTTCCCATACAAATTATATATTGTTTTTTTCAGGACAAAAGGGGCTTTCTTTACATACCATTATTTATATAATCTCATGTATTTTAATTTAAAAAAAATACAAAAATCTGATGAAAAATTGAAAAAAATACATGTTTTTTGACTTTTACTTGAAAAATCTTTTACTCATCTACAAAAGCGAATGAAAAAAACTGCTAAATAGATTCAAAATTTTGTCCTGAGTTTAAAAATACCTAGTGTTTACGTGCTTTTTTGCTTTTTTTTGCATGTTATAGGGCTATAGGTACAAGTAGGATATTGCGGTTTCAAAACATACATTTTTTAAATTTATCAATAGTGACATTGTAACACTATTATCTGTCATAAATCTCTGAATAACACCCCACATGTACATATTTTTTTTAAAGTAGACAACCCAGGGTATTCAATATGGGGTATGTCCAGTCTTTTTTAGTAGCCACTTAGTCGAAAACACTGGCCAAAGTAAGCATTCATATTTGTTTGTGTGTGAAAAAAGTAAAAAAACTAAATTGAACGCTAATTTTGGCCAGTGTTTGTGACCAAGTGGTTACTAAAAAAGACTGGACATACCCCATTTGCAATACCTTGGGTTGTCTTCTTTTGCAAATGGTATGCCATCATGGGGGTAATTCTCATTCCTGGGCTACCATACGCTCTCAAAGGCAACGTAACCAACCTGGCCATTTTCAATGTAAAAATATTTGACCCATATATTTGACCTTGTAACTTTCAAAAATGCTATAAAACCTGTACATGGGGGGTACTGTTTTACTCGGGAGACATCGCTGAACACAAATATTAGTGTTTAAAAACTGGAAAACGTATCACAACAATTATATCATCAGTAAAAGTGCTGTTTGTGTGTGAAAAATGCAAAAAAGTAACTTTCACTGACAATATCATCGCTGTGATATGTTTTACTGTTGTGAATCACTAATATTTGTGTTCAGCGAAGTCTCCCGAGTAAAACAGTACCCTCCATGTACAGGTTTTAGGGTGTCGTAGAACGTTACAGGGTAAAATACAGTGCTAGCAAATTAAATTCTCTGGAATTTCGGCCTGGGTTGGCAGGCAGGTCCCTCAAATTGCAATCAATAAAATTACTGAATTATGTAAAAATATTACATAAATACGCACGTAGAATTTAAATATATATGCATATTTATATATTTGAAGTCTACGTGTATATTTATATAATTATTTATGTAATTTTGTATATGGACGTATGTATATTTCTTATTATTTT